TTGTCAGAGTCCATCTGTTCGATATCTTTTTTAAGATCACCTAGAGCCAGAAGAATATCTTTTTGCACTATTTGTTTATCGGTAACTGTCTTTACATACTCTTCAAACAAATGTAATTGCCGTGCACGTTTGATTATTTTATCATCGATGTCAGTGATATTCATAACATATTCAACATCATAATGAAAATAATCCTTTAACACTCGACGTAGTATATCAAATGTAATGTAACTCCTAGAAAAGTAAAAAAAAGTATACTTTAAATTATAAATAAAGTGGACAATATATTTACTCACCTAGCATGCCCCATGTGTGAAGCATCATACACAGTAGGTCCACAGCTATACCAATGCACCTTATTCTCATTTTTCGGGATGAAAATTTCTTTCTTCCTCGTCAAGCTGTTGAACAACTTCAAGCAAGGAGTATTTGACGTTTTGTCACAAGACCACGCTGGTTGACATCGCTTTGTAGTGGCCATAATGATGCTATGTTTTTCAGATATCGATTGTCTCCAACGAGTTAATAATGACTCTACAACGAGATCAAATAAAACTATTGAACACGTGTAATATCGTTAACAGTACTATACGTCTAATACTTGTCTATATAATATTTGTCACGACTTACAAATGCACGTTGTCACAAAAATCAACAAATATTGTTTCTAAACACGTTGACACCAAATAGGTAAATATACCTTTTTAAATAGACTATTGGGTGATAAACAAGTAGGCACTTACGTAAACACGTATCAATCAAAATTGTTTAACTCTTAACACTACACAGTTATAGAAAACTATGATTTGAGAGTGTTAGTAAGTATTAATACTAAATATTAAATAGCTTCAACACTATTTCACGTCACATCAATAACAGTCCACATGAAATATGAATCATGTGCATAATTATTATCATTCGTGAAACCGCACGGCGATCGGGCCATGAGAAAATGATAATACTTATCGCGTTTTATCATTCTGCCGCGTTGACAGATTGGCATTTTTATTTTCTTATCATATACAAAATAAATACTAATATATAATAATATGATGTATACTACATTTTTGACTATCATCTGTAATTTGAAAGTTGCAACTTTTATAAGTGACTGATGTATGGCGTGAGACTCATTATGTGATTTGTGTTTGAAGAACATCTGCAAATTAGATATTAAAACAGTTCTTTCGAAGTTCATTAACGCATTGTTTGATTTATTAAATCGCTATCTAAGGTAATTTCGTTTATTTATTATTCTTACGCCGTCTATCGTGAGCAATGTTATTATAATTTTCATTAAAAAATAGCTATTTTGATAAGGTCTATTCAATACATTTATTTTAATTGATATTTGTTCATTATATATTTAATATTAATTACTTCATCATGCTATACCATATAAATAATTTTGTATTTCAGTTTATAATTATGATAAGTTATCATTTGTATTGCCTTAAACTGGACATTAGAAAGTTTAGAAATTAGAAATGAACATCTAGAATTAAATTAAATTTATTGGTAACTTTAAACTAGACTAGTGACTATTAAATGTCTTCCTCAGCAGACAAACAAATAGCTACATTTGTAACACTTCGTGTGATTGTTTTGTTAAGTACATAATTTAACATTAAAATTGCTTTTTCAAATAAAATTTAACTTAATATTTCATAAATAAAATAAACAACTATAAAAAAGAGTATTTATTATCAAATAATAACATTAAGTTTGTTTTTATATTTTTAACAGAAATACTTTTTTATAAAATAGAAAAAATAAATATTCAGATAACACTGAATTAGTAACTTTTATATGATTGAGTTATTATTGAATTGAATCATTTTTAACTTGAATAATTTTTATTTCATGTTTGGTTGTTATTTATAATAGTATAAATTATTGAATTAAAAATAACATCATATATTAAATAATACATATCTTTTTACAACAAAATATCAATTTTGCACAAATATAATCTAAAACAGTATATGTTACGATGAGTTAAAATAACCACCTAGATTACTAAATAAAATTATTAATTTCAAGTATTTAACATATTTTATAAAAAAAATTGTCGTCAAGTTTTTAATGAAAATTCTATTATTACATGTTTGCTTACTTGATAAATTTTAATTGTAACTAATAACTCTATTTTAAATCTTGTTTCAGGCTTGTTTTTATTTGGAGGATTAATATGAAAATGGTACCTATGACTGGCTTAATTTTGAATGAACACGAAGGCGAAGTTCATGATGCTGAACTGGATTATTATGGTCAACGTTTAGCTACATGCTCTAGTGATAAAACAATTAAAATATATAGTATAAACAATGGTAATAAAACATTATTGGCCAACATTAAGGGCCACCATGGTCCTGTGTGGCAAATTTGTTGGTCCCATCCAGTGTCTGGACATTTATTAGCCTCTTGTTCATATGACAAGCGTGTGGTTGTATGGAAAGAATCCAATGATTGGTTTAATATATTTGAATTTACTCATGAATCCTCAGTTAATGCTGTTGCTTGGGCACCCCATCAACATGGCACAATTTTAGCAAGTGCTAGTTCAGATGGATCCATTGGAGTACATGTGTTCAACAAAGAATGGTCTTCTAAATCATTTAGTGCCCACCATAATGGATGTAATACTGTAGCTTGGGCTCCATACAAAGAATTACTTTTTGGATCTGACCATACAGACTTTGGAAAAAAGTTAGTATTAGCAAGTGGTGGCTGCGATAATTTAGTGAAAATATGGACAGCTGAAAATGATCAGTGGGTACAGGTTGGTGAAATAAATTGTCACACAGATTGGGTTCGAGATGTGGCTTGGACATGTACTATTGGTGATAACCGACAATTAATTGCTAGTTGTTCCGAAGATAAGACTGTTGTAGTGTCACATAGTGATGATTATGCTAAATGGTCTTCTGTACGAATGCATTTGTTTGATAGCCGTGTTTGGACTGTTAGCTGGTCAAAAATTGGAAATGTACTTGCAGTGTCTGCTGAAACTAATAAAGTGTCATTATGGAAAGAGAAAACAATTGGCCATTGGGTTAGTTGCAGTGAAATTGATGATAATAAAGGGGTGGAGGATTAAATGTTTATTTTACTATTTTTATTTATAAATGTTTTAAAATATTTTGTAATAAAAGTCTTGTATAAAAATTTAATAAATGGAAACTGAATAATCGAAAATTAGGTATTGTTTTTATCATAAAATAAATTTAAGAATAAACATAATTGTAATTATGGAATTTAAATTGTGTGTTAATTTTTTTTAATTTCTGTGGATGTTTGAATAATAATTAAATATAAATATATCTCAAATATATAACATGCATATTATAATATATACAGTAGAATCCTTCTAATTTTGTCACCTTTGGGACTGGGATTATGGTCGAGTTATCAGAAAATATAAATTTACAGTATGTAAAATATTAAATTATATAATTTATTACTATATATATATTAATACTAAAAAGTTGAATGTATACCTGTGTTGTAAAAAAATTAATTACATTATTATATTTTATAATTTTGATTTTGAATACTTACTATAAATTAATAAATTTAAATATATTTTATAGCAACATACTAAATATTGATAATATAACAGATTAATCAATTAGAATTGTGGACCCGTCTGGGACTGACAAGAGAACAATCGTGGTGTGCATACATTATTTTATATTATTATATTGTTATTTTTTATATTACTATCACCGTGGTTGTTGTAGTCAACAGTACGTGTGCACACAGATATTATTTTATTATGTATGGTTACTATTTGTATTAAGTTTAAGACTAACATAGGCAATAAGTTGCTCTCATGGTATATTAATAATTATTTGCTTGATTTATTCATAATATAATAATATATTCTCATACATCCTACAATTATAAATACAAATATAATTGTATTTTTTATTTTATAATAATTATATACATAACTGCGTTAAGCATCCCCCTTCAAACGTCTACGGTAAAACCATAGTTAATGGACTCAGCTACTGTAACAAACTTTTTGGTCCTTTAACCAAAACATCAAATCACCCTTTAATATGTTAACTGGATTTTAGGAGCTGTTATTCACTTTTCGGGGGCATTGGTATTTTCAAAAAGAGATTAATTGTATAAAGCTTGAATATTTACTATTTAATTATATTGTATTAAATGTAAAATATAAGTTTAATATTAATCTTAAAGTAACATAATAATTATTAATTAAGAATAACTTTACATGTATGTGAAACAAGTAAAAATTGTATGCATTCAGGTCATAAACTAGGTACCTATTAAAATGTAGGTAGGTTTTATTTAATTCTGTATTAATAATATGCGTATAGATGAGATTGGAGATTAAGAGATGATAGGGATGATATTTTTATAGAAATTTACATTCGGTAAGTGAATTTGTTTTATAAGTATAAAAGTCAAGTGGCTTAGAGACTTTTTTTGTTTTAAAAAGCATAAAATATAATTCAAACTTCTAATAAGTATTAAATATTTAAATGTACTCAGTTCGTCGGACATGTAGTCAGTGGGGCATTTTGAGTATTCAGACACCCCCCCACCAGTGATATAAAATTATAGTCCACGATGGGCATGATCGATGTGTGGACACCCCATTGAGTAATTACTGTATGCAACACCCTATCTAAGTTGTATTTAAAAATTAAATGAAAGCTCTCTCTTTAAAAAATCCTGGCAACAGGCCTGGACGCACTTGAGTACATAGTAGTCAATAGATTGAATTTATTGAAATTTATCAAATGACATACTTATTACTTAGGTACTAATTAGTAATTACTAATTATCCAATGATACGTAGATATTCCCTCTGAATATTTTGAATTCAGCTATTTTGGATTTCCTATTGAACAAGCTTGGCTATGGTATAACCTAACACATATAACCATGGTTAAAGCATAAAATATATTATTTACGATTTTCTATTATCAGGTCAATAGTTATTATTTTGAATCATTATCACAGGATAAATTAAATTAAAATTTATTTACCATATTAAACCATTTAATTAATTATAGCACTAAGCAGTAACTAGTAAGGAGTAAGAACTACTGGTGTCTGCGGCTAGTCCTAAATATATACTAGTCTTTAGGTAATCATAGATATTATACCTTAAATGGTTTATTGCTTTATCATCAGAATTTAAATTTAAGAGTTTTAAGTACTAAAGTATGTATTACAGTAGTCAGTAGTCCTGTTTTATCATGTTGTAGTTTATTTTACGTACTAAAATAAATACATAATATTATGTATTTATAAACTTTAGTTGTTCACTATTCAGTCTTCAATAATCTTAATATTGATTCTATATTATATGAATATAATGTAAAAAATATCTAAAATGTGTTCGTTTAATTTGTTTACTGTTTAGCACTATTTCCTTGGATTTATTTATAAATAATGATAATAACTGTTATATTAGTCATAAATTTAAACATAATATTTAATTAATTAAGAAATTATTTATTTAGGCAGGAATCTAATTGTTGATGACAATATTTTGTAATGGTTGAATTAAAACCTAAAGAATATTGGCCAATAGTATATAGAAAAGAGTACAATGTTACATTTTTTGGTCTTGAAAATTTACATCCCTTTGATTCGAAAAAATGGGCACACATTTACAAAGTAAGCATCTGAGTTACTGAAATTAAATGTAATATAGTATCTAAACCTTTCACCTGGATTAAACTTTAATCCTGTGTTATTTTTGCTGCTCTCAATTTTCAAAAAGAAGGCAATACAATAGTCAATAATTTAATATTTTATTTTATTGTTTATTTTAACTTGAAGACAATTTTGCAAATGATAAGATAGTCATTGAGTATAGAGTGTACTTGAATATATTTTTATGAGTGACTTTTAACTGTTTTGATTTTTAATTAATAAATAGAATTTTAAATTTTAAAAAAAAAGTTATTAACCTAACCTAACCTATTTGATAAAAAATATTGTAGCTTATAAAATATTTTTATTTTATTTTTTAAGTATATAAATAGTGATTTTTTTTAAACTTAGTTTTGTCAACTTTAATTTTGGACTTGTTTGTAAGCTTATAACTTTTTTATATCTTATTAAATTAATAATTTTTTTGTAATTTATTATTTATTAAAACTAAGATTATTTGATACCCTATTGTATCTTATATTCTTATTCGAATAACTAATATAGGTAGGTACTTAATACCAATACATATTTATCAATTAATAATTCATCAATATTTGTTTAGATACTAAAAAATACCTTGGGTTTAAATCAAAGTAATATTTATGCTCCTGATGAAATTACTGAAGATGAACTGCTTACAATTCATAGTGGAAAATATCTTAAAAGTTTGAAAGTAAATAGGTACCTATTATAATAAAAATAATTTTGTTTTAATAATAATCATATATATTATAACAATATGATAAATAAATTAAAACTTTTAGTATAAAAAAATAATTTTTTATTTAATATGTATAATAAATATTTAACGCTTATTTAATTAATAGTGGAGTTATGTTGCTGCACGTATATCAGAAATTCCTGTGATTGTCTTGTTTCCTAATTTTTTGGTTCAAAGACAGTATTTAAGACCTCTTAGGTAAACAAACTTAGATTAAAATTACTTTGTCATTATTATTTTTAGATTTTTTAGATTTCAGGTTGGAGGTACAAGGTTAGCTGGAAAAATAGTTCGAAAAGAAGGAGTTGCTATTAATTTAGGAGGAGGTTTTCATCACTGTAGTAAAGATCGTGGTGGAGGGTTTTGTCCATATGCTGATATATCATTGATTGTGAATGATGCATTACAAGAAAATGACTGTAATTTGGTGATGATTATTGATTTAGATGCTCATCAGGTTAGTCAAAATATTAAAAAAAAACTCTTGTTTTCAAAAATGTAATACATTTTTCAAAGGGTAATGGATACGAAAGAGATTTTATTGGCAACTCAAAAGTATTTATTATTGATGTATTTAATGAAAATATATACCCAAAAGATACATATGCAGAAACTGCCATTTCAAAGGCTGTGAAATTAGATTACTTTGTACAAGATTATGAATATTTAACCTCTGTTGAAAGGTAAATACTTATTTTAAACAATAAAACAAAATTACATTTAAAATTTTTATAGCAAATATATTAAGTTTGTAAATAAATAAATTTTACTTATTTAAACATAAATTTTTCTATTAGTATTTTAAAAAAAAAATGCACTACCTACCTATATAGTATTTTGTTAGTAAATACCTATAACTAGTTTAATTTATTAAACATGAAATTTTTAATGTATTCATATGAATAACATTTGTATTTTGTACATTTTTCATTCTACATTCTTACCCCTTCCTTATCCTAATATTCATATAAAATAGTATGCACTTGTGTTATTTTGCAATTTACATTTGTCATACCTAATATGTTTATAACCTTGTTAAACTTAACCCTGCATGGTCAGTGTATAACATGAATTATATTGGTGTATAATAATTATCAGTTATCATACCATTAAATTTTTTTTTTACAATAAACATTAATTTTAGAATTAAAATTACAAGTTATAGTAAATATTTAGTAGGTAATAGATATATTTGCCTAAGAATAATACAAACTATCATATTATTATAAATGTATTTAAACTTATCTAATTGCCAATCACCAGGTTATGTACTGTTTAAATTACTAAATATTAATTTTGTGAAAATTAAATAGTTAATAGAATTATTATTATAAACAGTAAAAATTATAGTATAATTATTGAAAGTAATAGAATGTTTATCTAATAGCTAGTACTAAGCAAATAGATTTTTCAGTATAAAGCTAATTGGTGTAGTAGTCTTGTTAATCTGATTTGGTTTGAGGAAAAGGGCGATTCGGATTATCTATGACGTTTCTTGCAAATTAACTCAAAAATTAATTTTTATTTGTATTTGAAAAAGTCAATAAATACAATTTAAATTTAAATTGATATTATTATATTAAATACATACATATTTATATAATTATTAATTTGTGGATCTATGAAAAATATACCTAAATGTATAGATAATGTATCTATGTGGAATTAGTATAGATTGCAAATATTTTCTTTTAAATAATATATATATATGTGTGTGTGTATATGATATGATAGTTCACAAGGCTGTTTATATTAACAATACCCGACTTTATAATTTTATTGTTGGTCTGTTGCTTTTATTATAGTTTATGACATTAATCATAGTGCACTTTTTTTTAAAACTATTAACTATTTTAATCTTGATAATTAATACAAAAATATAGATTTCATAGTTTCATACTTATTTTTAGTGCTCTGATTGAATCGCTCATAAAAGTTAAACCAGATTTCATAATTTATAATGCGGGTACAGACATTTTAAAAGGAGACAAGTTGGGATTGCTTTCTATTACTCCAGAGGCAAGTTTTTGTTTGATTTTTTTATAAAACTCTATGTCAACGATAATATTATATTAAGTTATACAATTTTATTAATTATATGAATAATAAAATACTAAAATAGGTAAAAATTTTATTTGAATTGTGTATTAAAGTATATTATTTGGGTACCTAATCTACTTTTTAAAATAATCCCAAGAATTAAGTAGATTATCATAATTTATTCTTATATTTAAGTTTTATTCACATAATCACATCAAATTAAAATTTTAAGAATGTATTACTGCAAATAATATAGCTTTATTCAGTAGATTTGTGTAATTTTAACAAAAAATAATAATATAGATAATCCAAAACTGTCTCTTACTATCTAAGACCAGCTTTCAAACTATAAAAAAAGATTTATATTATATCTTTTAGAATTCTTTCCAAAAATATTTTTATACATAATTTGCTAGTGATCATTGTAGTATATTGTTTAATAAATCAAAACCTTTTTTTTAGAAACTAAAATTAATAAAAATATATAGATCATAGGTGTCCTCTGTTAATATAAAAATATTATATACTTAGACCTTTTGGCTTATACTATGATTATTGTGGTATATGAGTAAATAGTGCTTTTTATTTTATATTGAAATAAGTATTGGTAAATATAACTATGAAATCAAAAATAATTAAAAAGTTTACATGTTCTTCATCTTTTCCTTCGCCCTTCACGCCCAGATGTATTGGTTTGTTAACCTTTTCCTTTACAGCCATAGTGCCCTGCCTCCAACTCTTCATTACTCACCCCAGCTATTCTCAAGTTATTCTCTATTTTTTCTATCTATATTTTATTCGGTCTTCCTCTACATCTCTTTTTTTTTTGCCATAGTCAGTTTCACAATTGTCTGTATTTATCTTTAAAATGTAAACAGTAACAGACAATATTAAAAAACAAACATAAATTTTCATTCTTGAGAGTATCGCATTATACGAGTATAATATTCTTAATTCAATTTTATGGTTTTCAAAAATATTTTTATCTTAGATTCTTAATGGAATGTCGATTGTAAATACTTAATATGCCTTTTTTATGAAAAACTGGAATATTTATCCACAAACTTAATTTTTGACGAAATTAATTTTGTTTTTTTGATGTACCTAAAACGAATAATCATATAGCTTGATTATTGAAACTTGAAATGTTTACTAAATATTGATGATATTATTATTTTTTAGGCAAATTACAGTTTTCAAATATTTTGGCTTTTGTGTTGTTTATAGAAATTTTGACTAGAGAAAAGAAAATTGTCGATTTACATAAAATATAATTTTTGTTTGCAAATGAAAAAGCTTTAAAAACGTTGTATAGAAAACAATGTTTTTCATAAAATATTCGTCCATTAATATAAAAATACTGAAAACACATCGTCAAAACCTTAAACATTTCCAAATTATTTACTAAAATTTTCAATTTTTATAAATTAAACACTTTTAAAAAAACTATAACCATTTATTTTTGATATTTTTAAATTGCTATATGTAAGTATAACTTATGAAGTATTAAGTTTCTTAAATAATAACAAAATAACAAAGATTATACGCTTATAATATATCTCATACAAAAATATTTACTTAATCGTTCATAATTTTTCTTTTGATTTCAATAAATAACATTTACAAAGAATAACTTCCAATACATTTACGTAATTTAAATATTTCATAATTTTGATTAATTTCACAAATATTTGAATTTAAAACACTTATAAAAATAAATTGTGACTTGTGTTTTAGTTGTATAATTTTGATATTATTTTTACATTGGCAAAATATTACTATCAGGAATCTTGTGTTTCATTTTAAAACTATTTACTCACAAAGTCTTGAACAAGAATTTTTTGTAGATACATCAATTGAAAATTTTAAATGCTAATAAATATTACAAATAAGCTGAAATATTCTTTAAATTACATAATATATAATAATTAAATAATAATAATAAAATTTGGTGAAAAATTAAAGTCTTTCCAGTTATTCCAATTTCTGTTTTTTTTTTTACCTACTGTGAATTACTTTTGAGCCAAGTCCCCAAGTATCAATTATATCGAATTCTTTACCAAACACCATTCTTAAAATTAAAGACAATTTTAATGCTTCAAAAAGTAATTGCTGATGATAGGCACAAAAAATATATAAATAAATTATCGTAAAAGCAATAGATACTGCAATAGATCATCGCTTTAATCAAAATCTAAAATATTCATGTTAAAGTTGAAAACCTTGTAATTATTGTTTCTAATATTATTTTACATATTTTAGTTAAACTAAATAAGTATTAGAGTTATTTTTAAAATTATATTTATGCCCTAATATACACATCGGAGTTTGTAAATTTCGTCCCCCAAAAAAGGTCTTAGTCATACAGGTACTATGTAAATTGCGGCCTATATGTACTTTTAAAACATACGTAAATTGCAGCCCGTGTATTTTTATGACACGCATATATTGTGGCCCAGTATAATCCAATTTCCGGTCAGCTGTACATTTTAAAAATTAGTAATAACACTAATAACTAATAATCTACGATGTAGATATCAGCTGGAGAAGTCAGGCAACAAACAGCAAAACCGATATTTTTAACCATACTAATACTAAAAAAACTATATTGCCAGTCCTAAGTCTGAAAAATTAGAAGGAAAATATTGATTTTAATCAATAAATTGATTTCATATAAATTATACCACGGCTGTAGTTTACATGCATACAAAATATACCCTAGCCGCAATTTACACAAAAATTTAAAAATAGGACGCAATTTACTGCGATAATATACCTTCTTATAATATTGATCATGACGTGACATACCTAATATAGTAATTTCAATATTCATTAAGCAAATATAAACAGGGTCCAGACTTAGCATACATTGTCATATGACATGTGTTTTTGACAATATCCACCTCATTTAATTACATTTTTGACTATGAGGAGAAATTAGAAACATTGCAGCTACAGCTAACAATGTAAAAAACATATGTCATCTGATAATATACCGAGTAGCCAAAAGTCGCGCAACAAAACGACGTGGAAAGGAGAAACTGCACAGTAACGCGCGTTGCCATAGAGACGATAAGTTGCTGTGTGACTTTTGGCCACCAGTATACGAGGTTTGGGTCTGGCTTAATAAAGTCTCGTGTATTTTAACAATAGTATACAAATTTTTAATATTTTATTCTTCTCTGTTTAAAAATGTCATAACACTAATTTTAGGGAATAATACAAAGAGATGAAATGGTGTTCAAATTAGCTCAACAAAATAATATTCCTTTAGTTATGTTAACGTCCGGTGGCTATCATAAGTCAACTGCGAACATCATAGCAGCTTCATTGCTGAATCTAGTACAACAAGGACTAGTTAAACCATCTCAAGTGGAATAATACAAATTTATAAGCGTAAAATACAAGTTCTACCTATACAACGCCTATATAAAAGCGCCCTGAAAATTCGGGGTATACAATAAGAAGAATGTTGTCTAGTGTGTGTCTAATATATATATATATATATATATATATATATATATATATATATATTTATTACGTACAATACAATTATAAATGAGAAGTAGGTAGTAAAAATGTAAGCATTTTCAATAATACCTATTTTGGTATTCCGATATCCAATAATCGATAGTAAATAATTTTTTAAATATAACAAAGAAATAAGAATAAATTTAATTTAAGTAGAATGTATAAACTATTTTTATTTTCATTATAACTTTGTACGTATAGCTTTCTATATCAAAGAAAACATTAATAATGATTGAACGATTACATTAGTTTTACAATGATCCGAGCAAAAGTGCTTGTAATAATTTAAATCGTCGAGCTGTACAATACTTAATAATAAAATACCTAATTATTCAGATTTTCCAAATTGTCTATTCAATGCATATCGAAAAATAATTTAATTTTCAATATGACTTTTAAAAATGCTTGGTGGTTGATATTCAGTCAAAAAAAAAAAAAATATATATAATATATAGTGAGTAACAAGTTTTATTACATAGATATAAATATATATAATATAATTACACAGTTGTTCACAAAACCTAACCAAGAATTTATTTTTGATTATATTGTTGTAAACATTTTGCTATTCTCATTTAAAAAATAAAATAATGTATTTTACGTATCCGTGTTAAGAATTATATAACCTCATAGATTATACTAAAAACTGAATTAATTCAAATTTCTTTTCTCTCAAAACCTAAGTAAAGAAATAGTTGGCTGTGATATTTTTTCGATGGCTTACCAATTTACTCTTATACAAGTTAGGTACCGTTATTCTTTACCTACCTATCAATAAATTTAATATTAGAAGTATTAATATTTGTTAGTATGTGACCTGCGTTGAAAAATATTTTTATACGTATAGGTAATACCCAATGGGTATCAGTATTGCCTAGATATTATATTAAATATTTAAAAAAATATTAGTTACCTACCATTTACGTCATTTTTATTAATTTCATTGCTGTATGTGCAATTGTTTGTTATTTTTCATCATTATTTTTATTTATCTGTATTAACTAAAATACTATGGTCTATAATCTATAAGTTAATTACGTTGTTATTGTTTTGTTTTCATTCGCGTGTAATTTATTATGTTTTTAGTATCTATATTGTTGTATATTTATAAGTAATAGTTATCTATATTTAATATATTATACCTATATAAATATTGTTTTATTTTTTTAATTCAAAACTCATTTTTTGGCATGCCGGGTTATTAAAAAAAAATATATTACTATATATATAAAATATATATTATTTAGCTCATTGTTAATTCATCAAATGTTTAGCGATTGATAAAGTACCCGTCATTAGTATTATACTTAAATACGTATATCTAAATTCAAATGTATAGTTATAAGTATGTTGTAACTTTCTACCCCACTTCAAGCTCAGCTTAAAATGGTACCTACTGAAGTAATTTTGTTTCATAACAATAAATCGTGTATGTTATATTGTGAGAATTTATTAAATAATAAAACAATCTAAAAAACAATACTTAAATTATAATAAACTAATAACCTATTTACTTCCTTAAAAGTAGGGAAAAATACATATATATGAATAAAAAACTATTCATTTAATACAGATATGTATACATATATATAATTTACATCTGTAATAATTTTATTAAATGTTGGATTTTAATGCATTAGAAACTTTAATATATTTATACTCTATAACATTTTATATAAATTAGATATAGTCAGTGTAATATGAAACATGACAGTTTTAAATAGATTATTTAGATCAAAAAATGTGATATGCTATGCGTTTGTAAGGCGGATATATCGCAGGTGTAGCATCCTCTTAAGCTAAAAAAAAAATGATAATAATAATAATAATGACATTGTTTTCCTAATTAAAGTATGTAAAATTTAGTTGTTTTTACTTACTTAATGTTTAATAATTCCGTGTAAAATTTCACGAAAAAAAATTTTAATTTGCATTTATAGATATGTCTAATATAACAGAATTATGCTTTTAAAGTAAATACTTCAATACATGCAACATGAAAACATAATTTTTGTATTGTAAACGATACGTTTCTATTCTACTTTTAATAAAAAAAAATTTAAAAAAACTAGGTATATAAACACATATAAACATCCGCTCAATTTTTATTATTTCCCTGTAATAGTTGTGCATGGCAATTAATAATGTGAGAGAGCTTTCTCAAATTGTATATCCCTAGACGATTGTAGGTAATACTATTAATATTTAATGCATATTAAAAAAACAATTTTAAGCTATATTTAAAAAAAATATTAAAAATAAGATAAACGCTTCCAGAGTACATCATATTCGTCGATAACTTAAGTAAATAATATGTTACTGTATACACATTGTCATGTTATATATTCATCAATCATCATATATCAAAATCAAACTGGTTATATTTAAGTATCTAAATGTAATGTACTAATCAGTAATCTGTACTGTTTAGCTAAATATTTTCTAGTTCTTTCATCAGTCTTCTGCATCGATGAATTGGTAGTAGAAAAAAAAGTATGTGTATTGTGTATGTTATTTACAGTAAACGATACAAATTATAACGAATATGAAAATTTAAATTATTAATCATTTGTCTACGGTTTCAATAATGCTCTATTGTTCCGGAAGGCTTTCTCCGCTAATTCGTTACTATTCAACAACCGTCCCTAATCAGCCTTACAGCATAGCCTCATCCTACTCGACCTTAGTACCTTACGGAGGAAGAAGTCGAAATATTTTATTACCTGTTTATTAGTTAATGCGTGCGAGTACATATTATTATTGTGTGAACGTGTGCGTGTATTTTGTTGTGTTGTGCCATGTGATGTGGTGGACGTACATTGACATTGGAATAGTGTATTGACTGTTGTCTGCAGTTGAGTGTCGACCAGACTATAAATTAGTTTTTGATACAAACGACGACATCATTATCGGTAGAGCTGTCAGAGGAAACACAATCAAATATTATATAATACACGACTTGGAACCGTCGAATATTATTTCAAAAACGTATATCTACTATAGATATAATAATTACTATGGTGCTGCACGGGACATTTTCTTTTTTGACATTGATAATTTTGAACTCGGCGTCTATTCTAGGTAATCCATTACAGTTTAATATTTATACATATTTAAATGTACTTGTCAAATGCATAACATCAATGTTTATACACCTATAGGTTGCAAGTTGTGTAATTATCTAATTGTTGTTTTATTGTAGATAGTGCGAAAGTCGTTTGCTACTTCAGCAATTGGGCTATTTATCGACCAGGCCTTGGAAAATATACCGTAGACGATATACCGGTCAAAGATTGCACCCATGTTATTTATTCTTTTGTCGGAGTCGACAATTCAACTTGGAGTATAAGTGTTCTCGAGCCCGAAGTAATCAAAAACTTTTTTTTCTTATTCAATTATTTATACATATGCAATATGCAGCATATTTATCATAAATATATATTGATTGAGTTTGATAATAAATTTTAGATCGACATAAATAGAAATGGTTTCAAAAATTTCACGGATCTTCAAGTAACGAACCCAGACGTTAAGTTTATGGTAGCTCTTGGTGGTTGGGGAGAGGGGGGCAAGAAGTATTCTACATTAGTGTCTTCTTCGGAGAAAAGAGCAACATTTATCAAAAGTGTAATAGGTTAGCCACTTTAAAGATTTTTCCTAAATATTCTTATAATATATTCATTTTTATGCTTTTAGAATTTCTTTGGAAATACAAATTTAATGGCTTAGACCTGGACTGGGAATATCCTGGTGCAATTGACCGAGACGGAGCTTATTCAGATCGCAATAATTTTTATTATTTTGTACAAGAACTAAGAGCTGAATTTGAAAATCAAAATGCTTCATGGGAATTAACTATGGCAGTGCCATTAGCGAAATTCCGATTAATGGAAGGTTATTACGTTCCAGGTTTATGTCGGTAAGTAATTTTTTAAACAATAAGTGATTAGCTATAACTTATATTTATATAAAATATAAAAATAATAAAAAATGTAAATATATTTGTTTACGCCGTATGCACTTGCTAATGCAGTTTGCAACACGACTTGCGGGGTGTTTGGGAAATTCTATATATAACAACGAAATGTTGTATATCGTAAATAAATACT